TTTCCAGTTTATGATAGTGATGTGAAACGTTCTTTTAAATTTTTCTTATGATCAAAACATGAATCAGTACAAAGAAAAAAATGTTAAGTAAATAGGACAGGTAGCATGAATATATGTTAAACATTGCAAAGATGATACTACAATAATAAAGTTTTGGGAATGGTGATCTTATGTCTAGTCTCGTACCTCTGACCCTCCTCTTTCTTCTGCTTCTCCATCCACCACCTACTTATAAACATCAAGAAATAAAATCCCTTAAAGTGCATATATAGTATGCTACTTTCCATGAAAGAAGGAAGGGGAAATAAGAAAATATACATTTATCTGCTTATCTTTACAAATAGAATCCTAGAGAGGACAAATTCGAAACAATGGAATTGGTTACCTGTAAGGCATGGGAGGATTTGGGGTAAGAGGGATACAATAAGGGAAGGAGTGACACTTCTCTGAGTTAACTTTTTTGTATAGTTTTGACTTTTGGGACCATGTCAATGTCCTACATATTTTTAAAAACTTAAGTTAACAAGGATGAGAGGGAGGAGGCTGAAACTAAAAGCAAATTGAAACAAATGAACCCAGTTGCATTTAGATGAATACCAGAGCTAAACTGAAGGGGAAATAAAAAAGAATTAATCCAAGTGACTTGTGAGCGTAGTATTTCATTGTACACACTCAGTCTCGCAGGGGGAAGGAGAACTGCAGACACATCTTGAACTCTGTTTTTAGTAGGCTTTTTTTATAGTGGTATATACAAACAATTCTGAACCTACTTTAGGTGTAGGATTGAGCAGGTTAGTAAATGAGATGATGTTGTTGAGAGCCAGGATGCTCACTGTGGAAGAAAGCACATACTTATATGGAAAAGAGGAAGGCAAGAAAGAACTCTGTAAGAATGATTAGAATTGGTTGTATATTGATGTAAACTCATGATTTCTAAAATATGTATGTGTACACGCTTGTGTAAGTGCACTTGTATGTATGTATTATACGTGAGCATGTATGTGTGTGTGTATGTATATAAATATTTACATGCGTATATTTCCTAGCTTTGTCTGCTGAAAGAGCTTAACTCTCCACAGATTGCCCCGCAATAGCAATGAACAAAGACACTCCAGTAGCAATGAGCACCCAAATCTTGATCTCTAATAACATTCCTACTAAAAGAAATCAAGGCTTCTCAGAGAAATGGCTCATTACACAGCTGGGGCACAGTGGATGCAAGATGAGCCTGCAACACCTTATTATGCGAGAAAGTAAAGAAGAGTTCCAAAAAATTATGGGGGCATGTCACAAGGATACAGGCTCCAGCTTGAAGCAGCTCCCACTTGCCAAATCTGGGACACTTTGAGCACTCAAATAATTAGTATAGTAGTGAATATAAGCCATTGAAAAAAATGGAAACCCATGAATCCGTACCAATAATAAATAGATAATGGGGAAGAAGGGAGAGCACTTGCTTACGATAGAATGCTGAGTGACAACTGATAATGTGTAGGGAAGGATGGAGTTGGAATGTCATCAGTTTGCAAGCATCATAGTAAAGACTGAGTCAGACAAGAATCCTCAGTGGATGGTAGATCTAAGGGGAAATTTTAATCAGGAGCAGTCTGTTTGCGTGATCTTAAATTGTCTCCTCAATTGCTTCCTATTTGCAAAGGAAAACATAGTACCTGGACAGTGAAGAAATCAGATAACATCTTAACTGGGTGATCAAAATTAATATCCCTAATGAGACAAATGAACATGATACCCTGAGGAGGACAGAGCGTCACTTAGGTAGTATTCTGCATGACTTATGTTACGAGAAAGCATTAGAAAAACCAAAACTGAGGAGGAAAAAAGGAGGCAGGGCACTATATTCTTCAAAAATGTCAATATCGGATAGGAAAGAAAAAGGTTGTGGAAATAGTCCAGATTAAAGGAGACTAAGAGGACAAGTAAATGTGTGCCTACTCATAAATTGTATGATATAATGGAGGGGAAGGCCATACAGGACATTATTGGGTCAATTTATAAAATTAAAATGTGGACAGTATCAATATTAAATTTACTGAATTTGAAAATTATACTGTGATTACGTAAGAGAATATCCCTACTTCTTAGAAACACTGAAGTACTTGGGGAGAAAGGGCCATGATATATGCAGTTTACTCTCAAGAGACTCAGAAAAGAAGTGGTGTGTGTGCACATGTGTTTAAAGAGAGAAAGAACACAAATGATAGAGCATATGGGATAAAATGTTGACATGGATGCATCCAGGTGGAGGGTATACGGTGTTCTTTATACTGTGCTTACTCTTGCAACTTTCTGATAAATTTAAAATTATTTCCAAATGGAAAATTTAAAAAATAAAGAAGAATGTGATTGTTAGCGATGACTGAATGTTCTGCATCCTGGGAAAGACTTTACTGAGATCTAACAAGGCCATGGTATGTGGAGAACCACGCTGGGAGGGCCTGACCCACCTTTGAAAGTCATAGTCTGAAAATCAAAGTGGTATATTGATAAATAGCCTTGCTGGTTCTCCTGGCCTCTTATTCTAACACTGTTCTATGGAATCCAGTAGAACTGTGCCCCCAGGCAGCTAACTTAGTTAAGCACCCTCCACACTCCAGTCTATAGCCATCTCTCAGAGGAGGCTCCGAGACGTAGATATAGGCCGCCCTAAAGGACTGTGGAAGCAGCATGGACCCAGAGTGTGATCTATAGGCTCATACTGGTTGAGCTTAATAGAATTTTGTAGCTTCCATGCCTGGAGTGGGATCAATTAGGGAGTTTGTCGTCCCAGAGCTCTTAGGCGCAGTGCTGGCATTGAGAGACTTTGGCAGGAAAGTTAGAAACTCTTAGAGCTAAGTCACGAACTGCCCTCCTCACCCCATTGGTGATTTACCCAGGTTTCATCAGCCGGAAAGACATAGTGTTCTTTTCAATAAATTAGAAAATACTGATACCATTAATTCCATCACAGAGATTAGGAATTCATTAGTAAAGAGGGTAGTTTTATAAAATGCATGTATATATCCACATCTGGAAAGTAATACCTAAAAGAGTTTTAAGAAATCAGGTGTCCACATTTTTCCAAATAAACTTATTTGTTGTTTGTTCACTTTTCTTTTATAGCTCCCCAGTGTGCAAATAGTAAGGTTTTTAAAATTTTTCTGGGAAAAAAATTTTAATTAAGAAAATGCTATCCTTTTTCATAATTTTTCCTGCGATTTGGGGGAAAAGCATAGTCATATTGGTAAAGCACAATACCAGAAGAACTTCAGAACAAGGGACACTCCGAGTGTCTGTCGTACTCCCCAGGAGTGAGTAGAGAGGAACTGTCTTGCGTGGTCTTTGGACACCACAGGACAGAAATACCAAAGTCAGAGCAGGAAAGTCAGGGAAAATTCTCTCCTAAAGGAGAGCTCTGTGAGGCCTCGGGGCAGCAAAAGGAAGTGGTAGAAGCCCTTTTACTTGCCAACTAAAATAGGCATGACCTAAAAGAGGCCTGAGAGGGCCCTGCGGGGCCACGCTGGCCAGACCAACCAACATGTCTGTTCCTCCCTCTCCCCCCTCCTCTCATCTTTAACATTCCTTTCTTGGCTGAGAGTGTAGGGGCTTTTCTCAGTTTTAGGCTTGGGATTTCAGCCAATTCCCATCCTGCCTGAGGAAGTTCATAACAGCTATTCTGAAAGAATGGATGGAAGAGGAGGCTTCCAAGCAGGGCAGGGCCCACACTGCTTGTTTGCCCAGCTGCACAGTGTGGACAGACAGGGGCGGAAGTGTGCCTGGAGCCCAGGCTCTGGCACAGGGTTGGAGTCTAGGCCTCTCTGCCTTTGTCTGCACAGAGAGAGCCATCTACTTGTCTCCATCAGTGGTTGTCTCTTAGAAAGGGAGAAACAGGGAAATGTCATGAGTCAAAAAACATTTGTATGTTCCTCATTGCTAGAAAGACTGCTGAGAGGCCCCTCCTTCTACAGTGATGTCAGTCTGGGACTGTGCTCCCCTAGAAGCTTTAGGGGGGATCTAACAGCTTCCTTTTCATCACCTGTACCTTTCAAATGCACTCATTTTTTTTTTTTTTTCAGCTTCACTCAGTTACAGGTTTTAAATATTTGAGTGATACCTGAGGCTAAAACTGGCTAGGAAATTGGACAAAATTTATTTAGTTTCTCCAAGTCAAAATCTCCCCCAGTCTCAGAACTCAGTTTACCCTCAGAAAACTCTCATTAAACTTCTAAAACTCTCATTAAACTTCTAAATACACATCTGGTTCTTATAACCGCAATGCCAGACTGTGCATCCTCCATCATGAGCTAAGCTGTTTTTCAGTCCTGACCTACTATGGCCCTGGTTTCCATCTGCTCAGCCGGTGTCCACGTAGGTGTAACACACATTGCCTCGTGTGGATGCTACATGATCCATTTATGCCTTGGCTCAGTGTTTCTGTGTTGTCTCTGTGTCCTGTTTGTATATAGACAGGTCTGTGTATCTGATCAACTGAGTAACTTGAGCAAAGTCAATGCAGCAAGACATGAAACTGCTACTTGAACCTAGAGCTCTTACCTCAAAGCTCGTACATTGCATATGTGGCACTGGACTATATCCACCTTTATTTGTTCCTTGCTGAATACTGAGCTCCTAGAATGGTGCCTGGCACATGGAAGGCATTTGATAGTATTTATTAAATGAATAAGTGAGTAATTATGACGATAGTCTTGTGTTTTGATTCAGTCCAGTGTTAGTTTCGTTACAGGCCTGCCTCTGAGAGCTAACTGCTGACATGTAGTCTTAGCAACATTACAGTGCTTAGGACAGAGATGACTCTGCCTTCTAATGATTACTATTTTATTTTCTTAGTCACAGTGCATTCTGTAGCCCTTCTTTCTCTTACTATATTTTTATTTTTCAAGTCTACTGTCAGCTGGTAATGAGGGATGATAGGGGTTTCTAAAATCCTGGTTTGTCCTGTCTGTCTCATTAATCCCTGGGGTGGGGATTTGGGTATTTTACAGCTTTTGGATCTCTTCATCCAGTGGGATTGGTCAACCTACCTTGCTGACTACGGTCAGCCCAACTGCAAGTACCTCCGGGTGAACCCAGTGACAGCTCTGACCCTGCTTGAGAAGTGAGTACTCAGTGCAGTGGTCTGTGTTGGGAGCTGGGGAGATGGGGATGGGGGTTTGGTGTAGAGGATCATTTTCTCTTTGCCAATACCTTGAAAAGACAGCAGAGAGACCCTGTTTTTGAAGTTGCTGTAGGTACTATCAGCATTCTCCTTCGTTGGATTTGGCAGACCAGTCTTCCTCTTGTAGCGTCTTAATTCCTGAGCCCCAACAAGTTAGGCCAAGTATGGGTCAGTTTGATTCTGACATTACCTTGGAGCTTAATAGGTCAGCATATCTTTAACTAGAGATGACAAGAGAAGAAAGGAAGATGCCTTAGTTTGGGGCTCAGGATAGCCTGGTGAACAGAGTGAGGCTGGCTCCAACAATCTGGGGTATGATGATGGATAGAGCAGCCCCATAAACAGATGGCTTCTCTGGTTCCTAGCAGAGAAGCTCTCAGAATTACCGAAATCTTCACCTGTACCCACTTCTGCCACCTGCCAGATTGAGCTTTATTGTGCTATGTCCCAAGAAAGCTGTGTTGCAGAAGGTGTCTAATTGTGCCTTAGGCAGTCAGTAGCCAGCAAAGGTTGCTGCCACAGAGCTGTAGCATCTCTGAAGCTGAGGTACTACCACTGAGATTGGTTAGCCAGCTCTAGAACATCTTACAGCTAACCAACATGTCACCTAGATGCTGGGATCTGCTACCCATTGCAACCTGGCTCTGGCTTTTGCTAACTTAATTGAGAGCTGGCAGGCCAGAGACCAAGACTCTTGTAAAAAGAGAAGCTTTTTCTTCTCACCAAACTAGTTAATTCCCAGCTTCTTAGAAGAGTACCCTGCATCTAGGCAATATAGCAAGTCTATATATATGGCCAGTCAAGCAGGTCTCAAATCTTAGGAAGGCAAGGATCTGAGTCTAGGAGGTCAGAGTGGAGGCTTAAGCAGAAAGAGAGACTAAAGGATATCCTTCCTACTATGCAGTATGATAGGGGCAGAGAAGGGGAGGAGATGGAGAGTGGGCAAGAGCAGGATGCAGAGGTATGTGTTTGGAGCCGGAAACTAAGAACCCAGAATGCAGCTTTCTCCGGACCAAGACAGATGTTTCCATTTTAACTTTGTTTCCCATGATTCTCTCTCCCAATGACCTTCCTCCCTAGGATATCTAGAGAGTAAGTATATTATTCACTTGGGCCTTTTCCATCACTTTGAGGCAAGTCCTTCTGGTTTCCTCATTGACACTAATGACTACACTAAAATCCCTACCCTGTGAGTTGTCCCCACCCTGACATACTAATCTACTAAACCAGCCTGGTGCCAACTGGCTGGCTGCCTCCTCTATCCTTGGTCCTTAGAGTGACCCTTGGCTTACCAATTCCTTTGGGGCTGGGAGTGGTGGTAGGAATTTTCCCCCATTGGTGCCAGGTAAAGGGTTGTTCCCACTCAGCTTTCTGGCACCCTCAATACTCTTGCTAGCACAGGGCCTGAAATTCAGCCCTGACAGAAGGGAGCTCCTCAGCAGTCTCCCCTACCTCCTAGGGGTGAGGCCCATGGCTTTAAGATCTGGAACCTACGTCTCCCGTGAAAGACTCTATTAGAGGCAAGGCCCAATCCCAGCATTCTCAGTGAAACGGGGAGCATTTTGGCCTTTAAGTTGGTGTTTAGATGTCTTATTCATTGTATGTCCAAATGAGCTCTGGAATTCCCTTCAGTCAGTTCCCTCTCCCAGTAGTCTTTTACTCCTCTGTTCCTGAGAATCTCTAGATCCAAAAAGTACTGGTTCCTCTACTTCCTGTGGGTCAACAAGAGAGTAAAATAATCAGCCTCTCTTTAGCCTTCTGGAGGCCTAGCTGGTAACAAAGCCATGTGCTTAGCCCTAGCAGTCAGCAGAGTTTAAAAGCTTCCTTCCCAACACAGTAGGGCCAAAGCCCACCCAGATCGCTAAAGTCTATTTCCCAGCCTCATAGGAATCGGTTCCTTTACCTGACCCATTCCTGCTTTCCCCACAGCCAGCTGTACCACCAGAGCTTGACATTCTCTCCTTTTCAACCTGGCATTTCTTAGGGTGAGATATGGAAAGACCCAAAGACCTGCTGAGGACATTCAGGAAAGAGAAGAGGCCCCTGTGTCATTGAGAGGTGGCCATAGCCAAAGTAGGTCAGGATCCTGGGCCTGTAGAATGGGATAGGAAGTGGGGAGGGCTCTCCTTGGTTTTGGAGCATTCCAGGGTACAAACCAGCATGCCACATTAGCCCACAGGGCACTTGAGTTTACCTTTTGAGTAATCTCAACTCCAGGCCTTAATGGCCAAGAAATTCTAGCTTCTAGGGCTCAGAGACTACCCTCTTCTTCCCTTTCTCCTACATTATCTCCAGAGCTTCCCTCTGGGAGCTGAAAGCCAGCTCTGGCTGCCTGCCTCTGGGCTCTTTGAGGAGTCAGGAAACTAATGATCATATAGCACGTTAAATTAAATGTCCTATAAATGTAGAAAGTGTTTTTCTTCCTTTCTTCTTTCTTTCTTTTTTGTTTTGTTTTGTGTTGGTTTGGTTTAGATTTATAGCATATCCAGCAAAGGAAAAGGAGTCCTTCTCTGGGATAAATAATCTAAAACCAGGCTAGTTACACAGACATAATTGTATGATTAATGTGTTAAGGGACCAGATACAATAGCCTTCATAGCCTTGAGGACCCCTGTGCTTCCTTTTCAACCTAAACCTCTAAACCTCTGTCACCTCGCCTTCTTCCTCCCTTCCAAGCACAAGCCTCCACATGTGGGTGGTTGTACCTTAGATCAGCATTCTGAGTTTGCTTGATGAGTAATTCCAGCCTGAAGGCCCTTTAAGCTTAGATCAGAGAGAGAAGTCTCAGTTCGTTTGTAGCTGTCACTGTCAGCTAGAGCCATACAGCTGTGGTGCTCATCAGAACCTCCTCACCACATGGATATAAATGCCCTTGTGAGAGCTCTGGCCTTTTGACCCATTGGCCTCTAATCTGCTGCTCTGCACAGGGCCACCCCACAGAAAAAAATGAGCCAGAATCGGCCGAAGACTCCTGGGAAGTATGCCTGGGAGTAGTTTACTCCCCAGTGCCAGCTTCCTTCCCTCACCTCTTCTAGCCTGTCTCTATGCAGCCCAGGGAGCTGCAAAGCCAGAGAGCTGGCCCAGCTCCTGGGCGGTGGTGAAGACCTGCCTAGCACTACCCCAGGGAGAAGTTGGTCCGGGTGGTGTTCTTAATTCTGTAACACTGGTTCCTCTGTGGGCCAGAGGTCTGTAAGGCTGGGGCCAGAGTTAACAATTACCAACAGATGTCAGGGTTTGTGGGCCCTCCACAGGGGACAGCAGATTCCTGTATTCTGTCACAACGGCTTAGTCAGACTTGGGGGTTTCTGTGACAGCATCAGCCTGGCCTTGACTTTCTTTATCTGTGCATCTGAGTTAGGTCTCTCCATCTGACAGACCAGTGGCCAGAACTGCTCATGGTTTGTGCTCTAGGACTATGCCATCTCGGGAGTTTTGGCATGACTCAGTAATAAAAAGTTCTCCCGAATGTCAAGACCTGAAGATATAGACAGTCACTGAGAACTCAGGGGCTTCTCTTGCCTAAAACCCTGGTTTATCGAGTGAGAGGATGGCCCAGCCCTTTGGCACCTGCTTTCCTGAGCACCATGCCCTCTTAGCCACCTCACCGCCTCTGGGACCTTACTCTGAAACAAAAGACAAGAGATCAGTCAAGCCCTTAGTTTTGTTAGGGATGGGATAGAGTAACCAGCTACAATGAGGTTTAGAAATACACAGTGGTTTTCAGTTACTCCTGTTCTCTCAGAATTGCTAGTTAAGAGCATTTTTCTGCTTTACCTTTCAAATGCTAGCTCTAAGGTCCCAGCAGGATTTAGTAGGTTATTAAGTGATAAGTGGATCCTAGACAATTCCGTAAGAGCCTATTGACCATCAGGGCCGTAGCCTGTCCCAGATACCTGTAACAGGTGCATACCTGAAGACAGAAGGGAATGAATTATGTGGGGTGGATATGGACGATAAGGGGGTTGGCCTCTCCATAGCTGGCTCTTGACTATTTTCCAAAGGTGACTGAAGTTGGGAGGGCTGTGGGTGTCAGCGGGATAGCTTCCTGCATAGTAGGTAAGTATGGGCCTGACAATGGAAATATTCTGGACGACTCCAACTCTGAGTGGCGGTTAAGATACACTGTGCCATTCTGCCTCCTGCAGGTTCTCCTTCCACCGTTTGTCTCCTCAAACATTTTGTTCTCTTCCTTTCCTTCTGTTTAGGATGAAGGACACTAGCCGCAAGAACAACATGTTTGCACAGTTTCGGAAAAATGAGCGAGACAAGCAGAAATTGATTGACACTGTGGCCAAGCAGCTCCGAGGACTCATCAGCAGCCACCACTCATGAAGGCTGGCCTCGGGCCCACAGAGGCTGCCTGCCGTAGCCCCACAGTCCTGGACCCAGCCCTGGCTGGCCCTGCATTTGTGCATTCTTCTTCAAAGAGAGCAAATGTATTTTTTTAATAACCTATGTACAGTATTCGCATAACTTTTCCCTATAGTAAAAGAGGCACAAGAATAAGCAAGTACCTGAGATGTTGCTAGGCTGGGACTCACGGGAAGTTATACCATACTATCTGTATTATCCTAGAGATGATGGTGTCATCAGTGCCAGTATGATGAACCACCTTTCATCCATGGCTCTAGAGCTTTGGTCTGGAGCTCAGGAACTACACAAACAAGTGGGTACTTGGCACTGGGCAGTAAGGTGAGTCACCAAAAGGGTAGTAAAGTATCTCCTGTTCACTCCTGGGTGCCCCATTCACCAGATATCGGGGGCTGATTCTTCTTGACTCGAGGAAAGAACCTGGAAAACATTACTATTTAGTATGTGAAAGACCAGCACACGGTTCTGGAGGTTCATCTCCTCAGTCCACTAACTGTCATTGGCTGGTGAACAACATGGCATGTGGCAAGATGACAGCTTCACTCCAGTCCCTGAAGGATGGCTGTTTCTTTAGCCTAGATCTGACCTAATGCTTTCACTACTAATTATTCTGGGGGAGGATAGAGCTAAGTATGCAGTGGTAATAATTGGACCCCATGACTAACTGCAAGTTGCCCCCACACCAGGAGGAGATTTACTGGATCTTGAAAGCCATTGTGGATAAAATCAGAGCCACTGTCCCTTTCCCATTCATCTCATTTCCTTCTTTCAGGGTCAGGGCACCTGGTTCAGGGCATAGGTCAACAGTTATTTCCATGGGTCTTTACAGAGAGTCTTGGACCTGACCTCCTCCAGCAGTGTCATTGGGATAGATCATATTCCAGAAGCCTGAAAATGGTCCGTCCTTCACCCTTAGTTAAAACCGAAAGATAAATTGGGATTGTTCCTTTGTGTTTTAAAACTAACTTTCTGGCCACTATCTTTAAATGATATGTCACCTGCTCTGCACTGTAGGGGCAGCCACAGCTAGACTACATGCCTCTAGGGATGGAGCCATGTCACCATGAAGTAGACAGGGCCAACCATGGCTAGCAGTTTGTGCCTCTGGCCCAGCTGTCCCTCATTAAGTCCTGTCCTGGATATGAAGCTTTTCTTGCTCAAGCCCAAGGCTTCTGCCCTCTTTTAAGATCCCCAAAGCCATCTTTTGGCCTCATCTGAGAAAGGCTATCTATAACCCTGCCCCCCAAACTCTAGAGTTTGCACAGGAAGCCTGGGCCAGCTAGCTTGGAGGCTGTGTCCACTGTCCCAGATGGGCTTCTGAGACTTAATGCAAGGGCTTTGCTATGAGGTCAGTGAGAAGAACCTGCACTTTAAGACACTTCAGGAAGATGCCACTATGGCTACTAGCAAGAATATAGTTGTGCATCTCCAAACAATGACAAATAAGCCACACAGGCATTTCCAGCTTGGATTAGTGGGAGGAGAGAGTCATCAAACAGAATTCTTCACTACCTTTGTCAGCTACTGAGTTGCTTCTGGGGAGGGCAGTGCTTCCTTTTTCATTCTCCACCCCCCAAACCCCCCAATCCTATCACAACTTGAAAACCATAGGGAAGAGAATATGCACACAGACATGCAGCCTTCCTCAAAGTTGGAGAGACTGGCTGCATGTAAGCTCTGCAGAAGCCTTCTGAGCCTCAGCCTGAGGGCTAGGTGGTTGTCCCAGGGTCTTAGGTGAAACTAAGGGATGAGTACTGCCACTCAGAACTTCAAAAGCCAAGAGAAGGCAGAGGTCCATGGGAACAAGACCCAAGATGCATCTCCCAAGCCCTGGTCTTTATTGAAAAAGAGCGAGAAACGATTACACTAATCTGAAGTCCTGCTGCTTAAGAAGGGTCCAGAACACTCTCCTTCGCTAGTCCCCAGTTTGCAGCAAGACGTCTTCAGCTTTGAGTGCTGAGACTTGAAGTGGGAATGGAGAAAACCTTAAGTGTAGCACAATTTTTGTCTTTTTCGAGAGTCATCATTGTTGGTCTAGTCTCACACCTGTTCCCTGGAAAAACTGCCATAGAGGAAAAAGCGAACAGAGTAGAAGAATGAGGGTACTCTGCACCTTGCACACAGATCCCTCCAAAGAAAAAGCTTATTCAAGCTCAAGACTCATAAAGGTGGGCCCTCTGGTAGATCTCTTCTTCTCTCTCAGTCTGCCTTCAGTCTTTCCTGACAAAACCAATGTGCTGCTACCAAGTCAACTGTAGAGACACACTCTTGGTGGGCAGGGAAGGATAAAAGACAGGGGCCAGCAATGTCTAAGTTGTTCGAATTGGTGAAGTAGGACTTTTTCATTTTGTCTATAGGCCTCTAGCTAGGCCAGCCCTTGAGAGGACTTGTGCAAAGCATATGTGCCCATGCCCTCAGACTCCTAAGATCTGGCCTCAAATGCCCAGAGATATAGAAGTGCTCTGGAGGCCTCAATATGAGGGTGAGAACATGGGTGGCTGGAAGCCTACCAGCCGTCTCGTTCGTATGAAGCCTTGGCCAAGTTCTTGGGGAAACTAGGTCAGTGTTCCTGAAAGTACAGTCTTGTTTGCAACCCTAGTGGGTTTCAGTAGTGCTATGGGCAGCTTGCATACTTTCATAGGAAAATCTCTCCGAGTAGACTGTAAGTGAAACTGTTGAAAGTGGGAAAGAAGAGGACCTGGAAGTTGAAAACAGCAGAGTCCCTGTTGGCAAAGAGAATGTGTGGCTTCCAGGGAGCACTCCCTAGTGTCTTCATTGCGTACCCGGCCTCCCAGTCTCCTAGGCCTCCAAGCCAGCCTGGCTTCACTACGCACTTGACAAGTGCTTGCTCAGCAAGTCCCAGACCCAGGGCCCTTCATCCCCAAGATTGGCATTGGCCGTGACCTTGCTCAGAAGGCCTCTGAGCACACTCCCTGGGGCCTGCTCAGAAATCCCCCTACCTTAGCCTCCTCTCCCAGGACTCTGGTCCTGGATGCTTCAGTTGCCTCTTTTTTTTTTTTTATTTTGCCTGTGTTCGCAATTACTTTTTACTAATGTGTTGGAAATGGCCTTTTTATTTTGCACAAATAGTTGCACATTTATGGAGGAGATTTAGGAGAGTCCATTTTTAACTCTAAAGGGAACTTTTTCTTTAAAACTCACTAGTAAAGCTACTGATGCAGATGGGCCTCGTGGTTAGTGGGAACCTCCTGTGTGGAGAGAGCATGTTTATTTCTCCTGTACATTTTCCTCTTTTAACTGCTATTAAACAAGAGAGCCTACATACCTGTTTCAAAAGCCACAGTGTTGTCTCATAGTTTTTTTGTTCTTTCACCCCTTTTGCACAGTGCAGCTGTGGTTGGTGAACTGGATGACAGACACTGACCCCCTCAACTGGACTAAGGCCTAGAGCAGGCAGAAGCCTGATGGGGAGGATAAAGCTTGCCTGCCTGAAAGGGCAAGGAGCCCTTGGAAACATCCCAATCTACTGGGTTAGGTTTTCCTGTCTACACAGTTAACTTGGCATCATCATCAAGAGGAATAACTTTTGAAATACGTGATTTATATAGAGGACCGGCTTAGGCAACTTGGGGCCCATTATGTTTTGAACATCAGCCCTGCCATGGAAAGGTTCTCGGTCAAGATGGAGTGATGTATGGTTATCCACCACAAAGCCAGGCTGGGGCAAGGGGAGAAATGAGCCTATTTTAGAGCTCACTACGGGAGAGGGACAGGCCTCATAGCCTGGTACAGGAATGGGTCTGGTCAGGGAAGACAGCACAGAGAAAGCAGGATGGTAATTAGCTGGACTTTGAAGGAATTAAATTCAAACTTTGTTGGGCTACGGGAGTATTTTAGGTGCAGGCTACATTAGAGTGAAAAGTTGCCATGAATCTGGTATGTGCTGGGAGGGTAAGTGAAGGACCTGGTAGACGCATCTGGAACCATAGTGAGTAAGGCCAGAAATGGTGGAACAGCCCTCAGCCTGCTTGCCCCCTAGGCTGGCATGCAATGTGTGGGAATAGCATGGAAAAAATGTCTTCAGTAACAAGTCTGAATACTGCAGCTGGGCTTTGATGCCTGAGAGACCTAGGCTTCAGTCCCCGCTGTGCCACTTAACCAGCTGGATGACCTTGAACAATGATCTCGCTAAATCTCATAATCCTCATCTGAGAGCAGAATAGCAGTCCCTAATTTACAGGGATTTTGTGAATTGTAAATGAGCTATGGATGGTCAAAATGCTCAGCCAGTACCTAGCCATAGCACGTGTACTATTTAAGGCCTTTCCCTCCCTCCCTTCCAGTTCCACAACATACCTCCTGGCTGGGCATTGGACAGAAGTGTCCAGAGGATTAATGCCTCCAGGCTTCCCCTCCCCAAGCCCAGCACAGGGTTAATGGTAGCAAGGCCTCTCAAGCACCTGTATGCGAAACAGGTTCAAACCCTTCAAATCAAACAGCCAACCTCCTGGCTCAGAGTAGAGCCAGTCCTTCCAGTGGAATCTGCTCCTTAATACCACCTGAAGCCTTCTCTTTTCTCCTTTTAGTGCCAAAACTGATACTTCCTTCTTGAATCCAGAAGCTCTTAACCAGAGGTCCGTAAACCCTTGGAATGTGTGTGTGTGTGTGAGTGTGTACCTATGCACATATGTGCACAGGGTTATATCCACCCATTTTTCTGGATAGAAGGTGCATGGCTTTCATTAATGTCTAAGAAAGATTCATGACTAAAATACTGACTAATAACCAAATCCCTTTGGAAATGTAGATCTCCCTGTGAGGGAAATCCAGAAGCTCTGAGCAGTAACCTCCTCTCCCCGCCTCATAGAGTTCTGGCACATTTTTCAAGACCTGCAGCTCTGCCACCCAGCTTTTCCAGGAGCCCCCATGCGAACCCCAGGTCACACCCAAAGACCTGTACAGCTGTTACCCCTAGCTTTCTCTCCTCAAACCAGGTGAGGGTACTGAGGAGGGCATGAGGTCCTGGACTTGTGAGAATACAGGGACTTCCAGCTGGTCGGCGACATGACAAACCAGAGGGTCCAGTACAGAGGCTTGGGCTGTCAAAGCCAGACTAAAGCCGGCTCAGCCCAGAGCATTTCCCATCGCTTCTGAGCACTGATTGGTACGGTGTCTCACCAAGGCCTTATCCAGAGGGGGCCAGAAGCCTTTGGGCGGTGCTCTGAGGAGGAAGAGAACGAAACTGAACAAAACCAGGGACGGATGTGAGGCAGTCTCCAGCTTGCCCCTTTTCTCCTAGCTGGGCTTCTTATCTGCTCACCAGGCAGGTGAGGGTGGGGAGGAGCCAGTGGGAGATAAGGGGAGGGAGGGAGAGAAAGTGCCAGACCCTTTCCCCAGAGTTTTTAATTTAATGGGCAGTGTTTGCCTGGAATGAGAGCGCCTCTTGGCCCAAGGGACCAGAAGACAAAGGCTGCTGAGGAAGTGCAAGAAGGAGGAGAGAGGTGGGGGCCTGGGCATTGTGTGCAAGAGCTACCCCTCTATCTGTTTCAATCACTGGTGGGGTTAGGGTTACCCTGCATTTGGAGCCCCAGCTGCTTTGTGGGGTCTGTGACATCAGCCGTTGTGATGGTAATGGAGGGGCCTCTCACAGGGGGCACCCCTTCGTCCGCCAGCCCACATCAACTTCCAGAGAGGATGCAAGCTCCTCATCTCTTCGGGCGGGGGCTGGATGTGGGCCCAGAACTGGACCCAAGGCAACAGGCCCCCCCGCAGCCCCCAGTCTGAACCCGCTGCTAAGTGTACCTTCCAAGCCCAAGCTATGACCTTCCTCTCTCCAAAGCTCCAGAAAAAGAATGGAATCTGAACATTGAGATGCTTTTCTGGCCCTAAACAATCCTTCCATTCTCTAGGCTCAATGATGGGTCTATTTCCTCCTGTAAATGGGTCTCGTAATCTTCAACTTTTACCTTTGCTTCTGAGGGTAATTAATTGGATCTCGCTCTTGTTCTCCCCACACACTCTCCTCTCTGTTACAAGGCTCAGGTTAAACTGAGTAGATGCCTTCTCTTTTTTTCTGTTCCATGCAGTGTTTATTTTTAAAGCTGATGGAGTAAGGCCCTGCCCTCTCCAGTGAGCCCCTTCTCCAGAGAAGCCTGCTGGGGAAACAGCACTGCTCTGGGCACAGGAAAGGGGCCTCTGACCGCCCAGCTGAAGGCTTTTCATATAGCCAGTTTTGAGCAACCATTTCACTTTTTTTTCTCAGGTATATTTCCAAGCTTTTAGGGAAGATGCCAGGGAGGGAGTTTTCAGTTAACACTCTCAGGAGCAAAGTGGAGGGTTAAGTGGTGGTCTGGACGTTGGAGACAAAGGCAGGCAAAGATAGGCATGGGAGAAGTAAGATCAAAGGAGCAAAGCGTCTTTTTTTCCCCCCAGGATGAGGAAAAACAGTAAGGCCTCAAGTGCAGGGCAGCATGAGGGCTTCAGGGTAGGAGGAGTGAGGACAGAGCCCATCCTGGGCAGCGGGAGGGGTGGCTGCTATGGGGAGGCTGGTTGTGCAGGCAGGAAGTTGAGCCCGTGAGACACTGATGATTTCTAGTGTCTGTGTGCTTGCCTGATGCTTCTGCTCGAAAATGAGCGCTTCAAAGGCAGGGAAGACATCAGACGCCTGTCTGAATCCTCTGCAGCACTTTGCCCAGCAAATGGCACATGGGCACTCATGACCCAGTGAATCACACTACAGTGGGGACAGTCACTACCAAGGGAGGGGGCTGTGAGAGCAGCACTCCCTGCTGTCAATGACACTGTTTAGAAAATGTCTGGTGGTAGTAAAAAGCAAACCAACTTTTAGTTTTATTATGGTTTTAAAATTCTCTGTAAAGATGTACCACCCCACTCTTGGTATGCCATAGAGTAGGGAACAGGTTGAGAACAGACTGAGTCAGGTGAGAAACCAAAGTAGCAGTTCGGTCCTGATGGACAGGTTGTGGTCCTGGCAGTGGTGGTAAATGTGTGTGTGCACGAATACGTACCTGTGGACGTGTACCTATGGATCTACTAGAATTGAGGGCTTCCCCCTCTGAGCCCTAATCCTATTTCCCACATGTAATCACTGTTAACAGTATGATACCCTTTCAGATCATTTTAATATGTATATACTGACTTTTCCACAAAAAGGTTATAGTGTCTATTGCAGATTTCTTTCCCACTTAATCTATCTTAAACATCTTTCATGGCAACATATAGGATTTTTTCATCCTTTATGAAGCTCCTAAGTATTTCCATTGCATGGATGTACCTTGAGTTTACTTAACTAATTCTGAACTGATGAATATTTGAGATGTTCCCACTATTTCACTATTATAAATAATATTGCCATACATTTGTATACATCTTTGCCTTCTCGCTTAGGTATTTCTATTGCGTAAAGTTTCAGGAGTAGAATTGTTTGGTTAAAGCCTATAAATATTATAAATGTTAATAAAAATTGTGTATTACTCTTTTGAAAATCACCAGTTTACACTCTCTCCACTAGTATATGAAAGAGTCTGTTTCTCTATATATCCTCAGCCCTATATCAATGTTTTTCATTCTTGCCAATCTTATAAGTAAAAACTGACTTCCCTTTGTTTCATTTACATTTCTTTAATTTACACTGAGCTTACGCATCTCTTTGTATGGTTTGTTGGTCATTTGTATTTCCTCTTGTATGAAATGCCTATTTAGTCTGATTTTTTTTAATTAGGTTGTCTTATTTTTCATATTGATTTGAAGCTTTTTGTGTTTTAGGGGTTTTACTTATTTGTCATTTGAGTTGCAAATATTTTTACCAGTTTTGTCTTCTGAATTTGTTCATGGTCCATATCATTTAGAGCTCCTTATTTTGCAAGTAACAAAAAAAAAGGGACTTTATTGACTGAAAATGCAAAGGTAGTTCAGGGTTGGTTTGATTCAATGACTAAAACATGTCAAGGTCCTGTCTCTTTCCTTCTCTACTATGACTTTTATATTAGCAAGGCTGTTCTAAATCTTACTTCTCTCCTGGTGACCAAATGGCTGTCATTTTTCCTACACTGTGCAGAAACTGACTTCCAATGGCCCTCTTAGAAGAGTAAGGAACCTTCTGTCCCATAAGCCTCCAGTATTTAGAGCCCTAAATTGGATTACATGTCATTCTTTTTGATCAAGACCATGCCATGGGTTTCCTGCTTAGACCAGGGCTACTTGAACCAGTTACTGTGGCCAGGGCAACAGGATTACCCTGGTAGGTCAAAACAATCAGTTCCTGCCCCGGGAATTTGGAGCAAAGAGGTGTTAATACTCACCCCCAAAACAAATTGCATGGC